CCGGTATTTTCGCGCCTTCCCAAAATTACTTCAATGGAAGGTTTCCAGATGGATATGCGGAGCAAATCCATCTGGCGGAGTCAGGTCAAGTCCAGCTCCCAAACTATAAATGTGAAACACAATTGCTTGCATTTGTTTGACAGAAAAGAATCGAGGAATATTTTAAATGTCACCAGGTCTGATTTATAGGTGATTAAACAAAGAGTCTTGCAAAGATTTTTTTCCAAATAAACACTGTAAAACACAATGAAAGCCCAACAGAAACTCTGGATGAACCCTCAGACTTCATAGATCCACATCTTGACTATAAGTCAAGGAAATTTGAACTGAAGTTGAAGCTTGTTTGTTCCACAAAGGTTTTAATGGGCAATGTGCTAGGAGGAAATGTGTGCCAAAAGTGGCCAAATTATGCAAAAATGCATTTTTTCCACTCATAAAAGGGAATCTGGTCAGACTTATATTAATGGAGACCTTCTGCATAAGGCAAAGCCTTTGCTCCTATGATTTAGTCGTTGTTTCATTGAAATTTACCAATAATATCAACCAACTCAATATAAAATAAGAACAACAGAGCAAGCTTATGTAACGCATGTCAATTGCATCACCTGAAATAGTTGCACAATGACCTCTGACCCCTCCTTGGAAAGGTCGGAGCCTCTAGTTTCCAATGATGGTTTCAATTAAGGGGCGGGGCTAAAAATGAATACCTGCATTGCATTAGGTGCAGTCAGGTAGAATTTCAAATCCCATTTTATTTGTTTACACAGGTATAAAACAAAAAGTAGTTAAGAAAAAATAATTTTGAAACATCTTTTAGAATATTTAAAGCCCCATTTTGAAAGGCATGTAGATGAAACACCATGTGACTGTGTTTTGGCCTTTTCTATAAATAGATAAACAGCTGCTATCAGATGGCACCGCTACCAGGCCCGCCAGGCTCAAGGAGATGATAAAAAGTTCAAGATTCTGTGTTGAAAATGTAGTAAAAGGAAACGTTTCATTTAAAGT